TGTGTGTGTGTGTGTGTGTGTGTGTGTGTGTGTGTGTGTTCGCGCGCGTGTGTGTGTGTGTGTGTTCGCGCGTGCGTGTGTGTGTGTGTGTGTGTTCGCGCGTGCGTGTGTGTGTGTGTTCGCGCGTGCGTGTGTTCGCGTGTGTGTGTTCTGACCACTCTGCATGCTCTTGATTTGTACATCCACTGGTAGTTCTGCATATATAGTGTTTGTGTGTGTGTGTGTTTGTGTGTGTTTGTGTGTGTGTGTCTGTGTGTGTCTGTGTGTGTCTGTGTTCGTGCGCGCGCGTGAGTGTGTGTGTTCGCGCGCGTGTGTGTGCGCATGTGTGCTCTTGATTTGTACATCCACTGGTAGTTCTGCAGATATAGTGTGTGTGTGTGTATATATATACACACACACACACACACACACACACACACACACACACACTGAGTGGCCAGATTATTATGACCACCTGACGTTTGTAGGCAAATTAGCTATAATTTCATGCTGGAGTTGCTATAGGGCCAGACCATTATAAATAGGGAAGCAGGTTGTTTACCACGACAGTAGAAGTGATTTTTTTTCTGAAGATATGGGTAAACAACACAATTTAACAGTCTTTGAACGTGTGTTAGGGAAGGAGCCAAGTCCCCCTGTTTGCTGGATTGGAACCCAATAGCAGGGAACAATCCCAGAAGGAGAGCCAAGGCTGAGGTACAAGAAAGGATAATCCAAAATGCGTTGTCAGAGTACAGTCCGGGTCGAGGCAGGCAGCGAGTATCATAAATGGTGAGACAAGCCAGGGGTCAATAACCAGGAGATCCGAATCGCAGGGAAGGGAGACAGGAAACAGGAAACAGAAAATGAGGCGTTGTTGCCCAGACAACGACGCCCCCGTTGTCTGGGCAACAGGAAGCCACAGGTCCCTGCGAACCAATGGGACGGCTGGGAGAGAAGGAGTGCTCGCAAGGCCCTCCCCGGCAATGACCAGCACCCGAAGCAACTAAGAAGCCACGGCACTGCCACATGCGCACGTCACGCACGTATGTCATGAATGCGCTCATGTGCATACATGCAGCACGCCGCCGGGCACCAATTCACCCCAAGAAGGACCCTACGATCTCCGTCGCACCTGCCAGACCCCAGGTAAGAGGGCACCCCTGGTCCCACGACAACGTGAGATGACTGTTGGCGTGAGCCATGGAGCGAGTATCAGCAAAACAGCAGAATTTGTTAAATGTTCAAGAGCAGCTGTTGTTAAAGTGTTTAAAGACTGGACTGTCAGCCGAAAATCTGGGTCTGAACGTGCGAATTGTGGCCGTCAGCGACTAGTCATTGTTAGGGCAGAACGGAGAGTGGCAAGACTGGTACAAGACAACAGAAGGGCAACAGTGCAGTGTCAGATTCCTCGCATTACCTTTCAACATCTCGTGGAGTCTCGAGGCGGCCCAACAAAGTCATCTCGTGGAGTCATCTCGTGGCCCAAAGAAGTACTGATGGGGTGGTCATAATAATCTGGCCACTCAGTGTATATACCCTACAATATTTACACACACACACACACACATATATACATACACAGAGGGTGCCAAAAAATGTATACACATTTTAAGAAAGAAAAAACTGTATTAATTAAAAAGAAGATAATACTCAATATATATCGTTAACAAAAGAAGAACAGAAGTCACGTTTGACTTCTGCATTTACAAGAGGTGCTCAAAGTGGTTACCATCAGCGTTCAAGCACTTCTAATTACGGCGAACTGCTACTTGAGCAAGGTTGACCAAAGTGTCCACTTGTATTGCTGCGCATGCCGCTTCAATTTCTTCCCTTATCACAAATACGTGCAATTGTTAGGCGTGTTGGAGGTTTTCTTGCATACTCACGCCTCCATTGTTGAACAACCATGCTTCCGCCATTTTCTTTGACTGTCCTGTCAGTTGCATGATGATGCTAGCATTCATTTGATTAACGTCTTCTATTGAACGAACGTCATACTACACATTCCTACCGTAATTCAATTCAACTTCGAAAAGTAAAACATAAATAACATCTCTTAAAATGTGTATACATATTTCTGGCACCCCCAGTATATAAAGTCATTTTACTTAAAGAAGTGTAGTTTTGTGTCTGATACCTGTAACTCTTGTGTGATCGTGACTGGTGTAAGGTTAAGCCTCTCTTTAGCAGTATGAGTGGATCTTTTCTGCTGTCCAGGGGCATCTGTTACAGGAGGGAGAGAGAGTTCTGCCTTCTGCCTTAGAAAACTTAACTTCTCTTGTAGCAACAGAACACTGGAAATAGAAACATTTTCAATCAGAAAATTCACATTGTATCCTCCAAAGCGCTAACAAAACTTACACTGGTCTATGCTTGTTGATAATAGAGGAATGCTGCATTCCCTTTCATTTCATAGCATTAGAATGGGAATCCACAAAGATAAATTGAATCATGAACGAATTTATGTAAGAGAGTTCTGTTTCACTGATCAACAGTCAAGTTGGTACCGTTCTTATTAACCCCCAATGTAAGGGGGCTCTTATCTACTGGACCCCCCCCCCAGTGCAAGTACGAACTATACTGTGCACCAGATATGTGGTAAAACGCCTGAAAAGGCTGGTCTATGTAACCTATATACCTTTGCATAAGACTTCTTTTTTAAACATAATAAAAAGCAGACTTCCTTGTAATGGAAAAACAGCCAATATTCAGCAATGATATGGTGCAGAAGGAGTGACCAAACAGGTATAAAATTCACACTTTTCCTCATAAATATTAACAGATGCATAAGGACTGTATACAAAGAAACGGTCTCCAGGAAATGGATCTTTTAAAATTAGATTGGGATTGGGATAGTGCATAGTTGAAGTGTTTTATAGACAGCAATTAGCAGTTGGCTGACTGTATTTGTATCCCAGTGTTACCCTTTAATCATGCTACAGATTAAACATGCCCACATTTCGATTTGACACTTACCATGGCAAAGAAATCTGAATGTAGCCACACTGAAGTTCATTTGGATCACACTTTCTAAGGTCTCTAACATCTATACTCTGCTTGTTGTAGGCATACATTAGTAACACCTAAAATATACAATGGTAGGTATGTATTACTATATATACAGTTGTGTAAAGATGCAATATTTGTGTGGCTGTGTACACTGAATGCATGTTTGTGAGCATCATGTAATTCTTTATTTTCTCAGAATAGAATATGTATATCAGAATTGTTGAGTGTGTATGTGTGAAAACATTTTGTGAAAGTTTTTATATGCATTTCTAAGTTATAGTTCATGCTTCCAAAACTTCAGTAAGGCAATATAAGGAGCAATGATAATATGTAGTACCGTAACCCATGGCAACTAGTCATCAGTTCACAAGCATAATAAAATCATTTGGTTTCTGTTTTCTTTTATTGTACTTTGTATTTTATTTTGCCTAAAGTATATTCATTATCCACAAATATTAACAAACATTTATGGAGAGAACAACAATTTTATAGCAGTATTGATAGTTTATAATAACGGTAATGACTTACTTGACATAGAAGTACTGTAGGACTTATTAAACTAATAGCATGTACTTAGTGGGAAATATTTTTTGCCAGCTAGAATGTTGACTGTAATACTCTCTCTTAATACCTTTGACAAATAATGAATATTAGCATTAAGAGAAACGGTAGCATGCTGACAAATATTCCTGTAGTTGAAGTGTGGAATTATTCATATAATTAGAATTGAAGTATCACAGCAACAATCCTTTAACCACAAAGGTGAAACAGCTGGAAATTAATTTGCCTGAAGGACTATAAAAATAAAAAAATGTTTTGAAGAAGCAGTTGCTCAATGCCTTCACATTTGACCATCAAAAGGAGACTAGGGTGTTGATTTACTAACCTTATAAACACGCCACGAACAAGTATATACCTCTGTAGTGTGTTCCCTCCCAGCATGATCTATTGGTGGAATCTAGACACCTTTGTAGTGTGTACACACCCAGCAGGTGTGTTGTGCAAAGCCCTGCATGAATTGCAAGGTGATGTTGTGTAAATTAGCTCTACATTGTGTTGCTTGTGTTGATGAATGCAGGAATGTAAATGCATGAGCTAACCATTTTTGTCTAAACTGTGAAGCAGCATTATATATGCATCATGTGCATGATTTTTCCATATATGGCATTAGTGGAAATATGCTTTTAGAGACTTTTTGGTTGATAAATACGTTCCGCTGTGTAAAAATCACACGCACCTAGTGCGTGCGTGTGTTTAGGTTAGTAAATCACCCCCTAGATCTTCTTATATATACAAATGTTTTTGGAGGCATCCCAGCTTGTCTCTGTCCTACTAGACATATTTTGGAACCTTGCCTCCTGGCATAAGGTAGAAAGAAGGCGGCTGGCTTAGGGTAGCCTCTTGCCCACTAAGGCTAGCTCATTTGTTTTCAGATTCACCATGCCATTCATACCTTAGCAGCTCATATCCACCCTAGATTATGGACTACATCCAATGCACTAAACATTTATTCACAATTGTGCAAGGCTTACCCTAATTACCTTGCGGCATAAAGGCAAAGTTGTTTAAAGTGCTGAATAGCTGAAGCTTAAATGACACTAACAGCTGAATGAGTGTGAGGTGCGAGTCACTAACCTTACTACCTTCTTTGAATGTAGTGTGTGTGTCCACAAATATACCCACAAACACAATATGCCATAATTGTCAATATGGACAAATGAAATATTACCATGGGATTAATGTGTCCTGACTTCTCTAAAGATGGAGAACACCACTGTATACACAACTCCTTGTCTACAGCATTTGTCGCTATTTGTTCACTTTCTACTTTGTTATTGGCTGACACACTAGAAGAAGATTTCACCGGTGTTTTTGGATGGGATTCTTTACTTCTTAAACTTTCCTGAAACAGAGGAAACAAAACAACATTAATTATGGGCAAACTACACCTACAGTATGCACCAAGTCAATGACAGTAGTTTGCAGCAACAGCAAACAAACTTTTAGGTGTTATATCTAGAATCATAATGTTAAACAACAAACAGATTAAAACATGTTAATAATTTTGGGCTCGAGTTTTTAATTTTCTTTCATCAATTATGGCTCTCACACCGACACCGGATCCAAAGGTCGCCCTACTCAACCTGCCCCCAAAGGAAGTCACAACTAAACAACACAAATTTTTATTGCATGGCCTTACAGCGGCTAAACAGACAGTAGTGACATCATGGCATTCCCCCACTCTGCCTTTTGCGGAAGTAGAACGTAGACTCCAATGGTTCTTCACTAACGAATGCCTCACAGGCGCAGTTGATCGATCAAGTTCTACGCTTTGAGCAGATATAGGATCCCATGGATGCAACATCTACGGACGCACTCCTTTGACGCTCGATTACCGACACTCTGAACTTGGAGAATGGTCACTCATCCCCTTACCAGTACACCGGGAATGGGCCACTCCTACCTTCCCTCACTCCCAACTCTACTCCTCTGCTATACTCTATCCCCCTCTCTATCCTGCTTTTACCCCCTCCTTGACCCTCTTTCACCCGGCGTAAGGCTGGGGTGGCAGAGGGAAAATGTTTGTCCCTTTACGCTCATTTATTTTTACTTTTGTTAGATCCAGATTACAAGCTGTTACTTAGTTATACTGGATCTTTGGTTTGAAAAACAGACTACCGGTTACTGCTAAGCACTGGTAACATCAGCATTGCCCCTTTGGCAGCAGTGACCATAAGGTAGAAGGTTAAGGAATATCATAGTTCATACTATGTCATGACCTATGAATGTATACCTCGGATGTGCTTGAATGTTCCAATGTAATGAAAACAAAAATTAATTTTTTTTATTGAATGAAAAAAACAAAACATGTTAATAAATAGTAAGTAAATGAGCTTTGTGCATGAATGAGATTATATATAGAATGTATTTATTTTACATTCTATAATTCTATGTATATGACATATTAGTATGCTTATTTTGTCCTTTTTTCCCCAAAACACTGATCAGTGAGTATTTACAATTTTAAAGGTTTATTAATAAATTGTCTTTCCTCTTGCCTGAGCTTACAATAGGCTAATACAATTATTATTGTTATTATAACGTGTTTCATGGTGCTGTAGAAAGTGTTAGAAATATAGTAAATACAGATACATAAAAAATCCATTTTAAACTGTAAACATACCACCACATAGTAAAACACCTGAACTAGGATAAGATACACTAGGAACAGATCTATAACAGAGAGCAAACACTATTATCTGTTCTCCACAGGACATCACAGTCATTGGGGTTGATTTACTAACCTTTTAAACACACCACGAACGTGTATACACCTCTGTAGTGTGTTCCCTCCCAGCATGATCTATGGGAGGAATCGAAACACCTTTGTAGTGTGTACACACCCAGCAGGTGTGTTGTGGAAAGCCCTGCAATGAATTGCAAGGTAATGTGGTGTAAATTAGCTCTATGTTATGTTGCTTGCGTTGATGAATGCAGGAATGTAAATGCATGAGCTAACCATTTTTGTCCAAACTGTGAAGCAGCATTATATATGCATCATGTGCATGATTTTTCCATATATGGCATTAGTGGAAATATGCTTTTAGAGACTTTTTGGTTGATAAATACGTTTTGCTGTGTGAAAATCACACACACCTGGTGTGTGTGTGTGTGTTTAGGTTAGTAAATCACCCCCATTATCTCAGACTGTGTCTGCATTTTAAGTTTCATTCATAAAATGCAGAGCGTGGCATGGAACCTACGGTGTCCTTTGGAATGCTTTCTGCATAAAGCTGCAAAGAACACTCAGAGAAGGAGGGCCATGTCACATGACCTTAACATAAGTCATGTGATAGGGGTCTTCTCCTGCCAGCATTATTTTTAATTTCTCCTTCATCAAAATAAATGGGGATTTGCTTGCTTTAGGCTACAGAGGCACGCAAAGGGGATAGTACATTTGTAAGGAACCCAGTGGTTACCGCCCTGTAATTTGTTTACCCAAGTCCCCAGGATAGCATACATGAGACAGATGGCTCCGCCCTCCAGCCAGGAAATAAAGCCCACAGAGCACTTTAAAAAGCAGTGTCCCTCATTTGCTCAGTTGTGTAGCTAAGCTGCCGCAGGCAGCCGAGTGAATAACCAAGCCGAAGTGAAGGGAGCTGAACGCTGATTTCAGCCATACATCGGCTGGCTTTGGCTCCCTTTGGTTCAGCCGAAGTGAAGAACATGTTCAACTCAGCGGATCCAACATCTGGATCAGCTGACCCGAAGGCACGTCAGTTCACTTTCTGCCATTCTCCCCTAATCTCATAGGGGCTGAACGGCAGTGAATGAATAGCCGAGTGCTGCTGAGCGGCATTCGGCTGGGTTATTCTGCTCACTACCTCGGAGGTAGCGAGGAGAATTAAAAAAATGTAAACCAAAGAAAGAAAAAAAATAATGACGTGCGGTCCTCCTCCCAAACCATACCAGACCCTTTAGGTCTGGTAGGAAAGTTAGGAGGGACCCCAAGTTAAAAATAAATGCACGGGGTTCCCCACAAAAGTCATACCGAGCCCTTTAGGTCTGGTAGGTATTTTAAAGAAAAACCCCACCCATAAAAAATGGGGGGGAAAACAGGGCACATGCCCTCGGCATTGGGAGGGTACCTTTCCAGGGGTCACCCTGGAAAAGCACCTTGTCCCCATGCCAATGGGGGGGGGCCCCTCCCAACTTTCCCTCCAGACCTAAAGGGTCTGATATGGATCGAGAGGGGGACCACATGCCGGTTATTTTTTTTATGTTTACATTTTGCGGGGAGAACAGCCGCAGTACGGGGATTAGCCAAAGCTACGGCTTAATCCTTCCAATAACCCCCTTAGTCTTGTGCTTCTTGCACATCAAACTGCAAATATGGTTTATTAGGTTCAGACAGTCATCATACATTCTTACCTGCTTGTATGGTCATGGGATGAATGCTGGCTATGTATCTTCAAGCATGCGCACCTCACTACAGTTAGTAGAGCACTTTGTTTGGGTGCAGTTGCCTAGGTTCAAAGGTTAAATTCAGAGGCACTACAGTTTGATTACATTCAAGTGCTATATTTTTTCTACATGTACCAGACATGTCAAGCATTACTGTTTTACTACCAAGACAGAATTTGCATTTTTCTGTATATAGTTGAAAAGTAAATATTAGCAAAACATATACAATCCTTTCATGCACAAACATTGCACCTCTTTATGGTTTGGGTCTTTGATCTTTTTAGTGAAGACAATTCTGTTTATGAGTTCATTTGCCTGGGGCAAGTTAGACTGAATTGAATGTATGCAATGTAACGTAAATGTTTTTGGTTTTTTTTGTTCAGAAGTAAAGACTTGCCCTATAGTGAGCTTACATTTACAGCAGCTTGTGTATACATATTCCTATTGCACATGTCCTATGTATGGTACCTAGCTTGGTGACCTTGCTTCTCCCAGGCATAGTTTGTAGTTTAGGTGTGTTTTTCCTGCCTCTGTAGAATTTCTTGCTATCACTCGTCATCACTATGTAATGTTATGTTACTGTTGGAGGTATATGTTTTGCCTGCTTCTAATTACTTTTTTTGCAGACTGAGACAAAAGTGAGCAGGACTGCTTTTTGAAGGGGTTGTGTTTCCTGTCTGGTGGGCCAGCCATCTCTCTCTGGGTATGTCATGCTGCATGATTCCTGGGAACTGAGTTACCAGGTAACTAATTCTGCTTTTTAAAACAGCAGTATGGCCATATTTGGCCATTCTGGTGTATTATACATGAGCCCATATGAGTGAAAGCTCTGCTTGCACATCCTTACAAATTATCTAAAGGAGCCATAGATCTCCATAAAAAAAAATAAAACACGGGACAGAACTTTCTTCATAAGATTGTTCTAGATGAAATCACCCTAGCCCTCAAATCCTACCATAGTAGTTCATTTAGAAACCAATGAAAAATGAAATCAATAACTCTGAGGAAGCACAGCACAGCCAGCACTTAACATTTACAGAAGCTTAATTATTTCATAAAATCAACATATTTGTTTGCTAGATTTTCAATAAAGGCCTTTTTGAATTTCCATCGAGAATCTGCCCTATCTGATCACAATAAAGGATGCTTGCATAATGATGCTTTCATCTTTGCACAAACCACACTTAAACATTACATTACAGGGGGCGTTTGACTGAATTCATCATGACATGTTTAAAAGCAGCAAAGCTTTGTTTCTATAATGAAACAAAATAATCAAAAGATTGTATGCTTGTTAGCTATCCACAACAGTCAGGATAATACATGATTATGCCTGCACCTGTCAGTTTACCGCAGTCAGTGATCTAAGGAAAACAGAATGATAATATATGAAAAAGCAAAAGGAACAAATAAGCCTATACAACATTTTAATATGATACTGCTTAGCAATGTCAGAGATGTTTATTGTTCTTTTGTCTGAAGTCTGATATTATGATTATATGCATTACAGTGTGATGCCGGAACATGTTCTACAAAAGATGCATGCTGTTTATTAAATAGTCTGTTTAAAGGCTTGCACAGTATCTGGTGATGCATTTACATTATTAGTTGTTTTTGAAAATTCTTTATCTGCCATTGTCCTCTAAGTGGAATATGTGTCAGGACAGCTACAGGCTGAAGTGACATGTTAAGCACAAGTTAAAGATAAAGCCTCTTCATACAACATCCACCTTATTCAGGCCTAACTGTAACACATGGTTATGAAAGCAAAAAAAGTTTAATTGGAAGCAGCATATTTTCTATCATATATGTGTTAAGTCAAAAATCTATCTGCATACATGTTCTGGGTTACTGACTCAGAACGTTAAAAAGCCAATATATGAGAATGACAGACAGGCATTTTTAGAAGAAGCCAGCATACTTCAATGGAAGCTAACATACTACCCTCAGAATACATTTCATGTAAGTTATCTTACAGTGGAAGTAAGTATAAAAAAATGCCAATAGGCAGGCATGCTATGGCAGAAGAGATTGTGCAAGTATCTTCTGCCGTAAATGCTTCTTTAACCATTCAGCATTTTATTTCTGTATGCTGAGCCTTGCAGCTCAGTGCAGAGATAAAGTAACTTCCACGTGCATGCGCGGGAGTTATGTCATCAGGGCCCAGCCCATCACATGGCGGAACACTCAAAACCCATAAGAAGACTGGGGCGAAGATGGAAGTGTCAGTGAAGAAGAAGTGCATCGCAAGATTGGTTGGTAAGTTTGCCATAATGTGCTAATATGCTGTGCATACTAGCACATTATGGCTAAATGCTCCTGTGGGCCCAATTTTTGTTTTTCTTTTAATAGCTTTACTTCTGCTTTGAAGCCCAACTCCACCTCTAGACAAAAAAAAAAAAAGGAAAATCACCTTTCCTCAAGTGTTATCCTCTACATGCTCACTACTTCCAGATCAAGTGCTGGTACTCTTCCAGATTAAATGATGCCCCGCCTCATCCAACCGACTTCCTGTGAGCCCAGGCCATCGTGGACACACCTCCTGGGGGAGCATCATCATGCTAGCCTGGGCTCAAAGCACACATGTCAATATGTGAGATCCAGTCTGTTGAAGAGTAAAATCTATTCGTCACCACTCAGGAGAAAAGGAAGGACCTGTGAAGTCACAGTACTGCCCAGAAGACTGCATATAAAAGTATTCATGACTTTCTTTCAAAACGTGCAGAGGGGGGACACTTTCAGGGGTGGAGAGGGGTCGGGAGGCATTAAAAACATGGAATTGGGCTTATAAGCAAACAGCAGGTTTGCTTTAATACCCCCCTCACCAGCAGCACATACTTACCTTACCTATGCTCCTCTGCCAATCCATTGAGCTGCCAGAAACAAAGAGAATACCCAGTACCTCCAGGTATAGAGGAACATATGACTTATTACATGTGCCAGCACTGGTGATTGGCTATCATTGCTTAAAATGGACAATCAGAAATGGAAAGTACAGTTACATTGCTAAAAATAACAATATTTATGGTAAGCAACACATTATAATGAGTGAACTTTGCCTGTTTGTGTGCCTGTCAAGGTTAGTGGGCTTCTGTACACAGTAATAGGATCAACTAGTGCTTCAGCCACCACCATATTCAACTCTTACTTGGCACTAAGCACTTTCTCCTTCTCATAGAAAGGTCATTCAATAAGTGAGCTCAGGATTTAATAATGATTAGCAACGTAATAACTGAATTTCAGTACAGAGTTTGTATGTAATACCCCGTAGAGAGTTATTGCATCTGCATGGTTACACTTGAAAGGAACTGCATAATATACTTTGTGCAAAATCATATGCATCGGTGTAAAGATGGCTATTCATTAGCACTGTAGTCTAGCTGAGGATGTGTGAGAGATCACAAGTAGTAAGGCAAAGCTAGGGTGACATGTTAATGTAGCTATAGAGGTAACACGTTTTATACCATACAAGAGTGATATGTACTCAAATACACATAATGCCTTTTTTCCACTGACATCATGTTGGGTAAATTATGAACAGCTGTCCAGTGAAAATGCTAGAATAAGCTGATTATCTGAGCTGCAATCACCCGAGCAAGTTGTACAGTATGCAAACTCTCATAATTCCTTCGATTTAAGCCAGCTATTTAAGGAGGTCAATTCAAAAACTCTACTTCTGCCAAGATGGTATGGAAGCTGGATAACCTGCATTAAAACCGAGCCAAGCTGCAAGTTTTTTATTCTTATGACCCTATGTGTAATTTCTACACTAGCAACATATATGACCTGATAATATGAAGCCGTATAGCAGACGAGGGTCGATTTCATCTGTTATAAAGATGAGCTTTATGTGCCGCATATAGAAAGTCAGATCTGCAAGACTATAAATGTAAAGGCTTCCCACTGATTCAGCTGGCACCCCCATTTAAGGAAACAGATGGTAAGGTCATTGCTGGCATTTAGGAAATTGCAACTCTCAGAGCAGAAGACAGTGTGTATATTTTAGTTAGCATTCACATGTCATTTAATTGCCTTAAACACAAAATGATGTTTAGCGAGCACACAGCAAGTGGAAAAAAAAAAGCTTAATTACTTGGTAGTTTCTAAGGTAACAACATTTTCTCTAGGAAAATAAATTCTGAGATTTATGTAAACACAGTAATAATTAAAAAAAAAAAAAAACTGATTTATTAGGAGAGCGATGACATTTAGTTGAATCATTAAGAAGAATGGTTGCTATAGGGTTTTTTTTGTTTTTAAAAAAAACTAAATTCTGTTTATTCTCAGTTATTTTTTTTCTGCAATTCTGAGTTGGAAAATACAGAACTTGAAAAGGTAAAGATCTATTTTTATTTAAATAACTCCACTGACATTTTACAGTCAAGCTACAAAATGTACATAATGTCAGTGTCCAGATTTCCTGCTGCTAGGTTATGCATTCAGGTTGACTTGTTCAAAAAGCAATACTGATGTGCGACTGCAATTAATTCAAGCAACTAATCAGATGTCAAATCACTGTAATGGTAAAATATAATCTGATTTGCTACCCTCTGTCTTTGTCTCACTAAGCAAGCTAAAACATTCCATATATGAACATATGTAAAACTCAAGCCTGCTCTGCGACCATTTTTTATGCTACTAGCAAATCTAAGGCAGTGTTTTGGGAGCCTGCTAGGGGGAATCCAAATAGCACTTTAATTAGCACCCTTTTATGTCTCCTATTAATGCAGAGATATACAGTATATTGGTGAAATGAGGAGTTGCATTACATTGTGCCAGCTGAACCCTTTTAATGCTATACCACATGTATATGTAAAGGATCAGAATGTTTATGGAGGACTTGATTGAATAACCATCTGCTTACATTTTCCCAGACACACAGTATATGAACTGCACCACACACTGCATGGGTTCCTGTGGCACGTATGACCATCAACGTCATACGTGCCATATATATTTATTTATTTGAAGAGGAATATCTTACACATAGTGTGTATGAACAGTACCTTATGAATTGATCTTCAAGTGGTATAGTTCCTTATTTTGGAGCTCGGTAGCCCATGATATTAGCTGCAGGGAAGTCTTGTCTCAACTTATGAACCATTCTTTGTACACTTCAGTTGAAGTCTATTTATGATTTCTGTTTGAAAAATTGCTATCATCGCCTGTATCCTGAGGTAACGTTTCTTTTGCGATTGATATATACAGTATGTATATATATATATATAAAACCACTTGAAGACCGGGTTGTTAAACCCCCTTCCTGTCAGGGTAATTTTTCAGTACTTAGATTATTTTTATATCATTTTTTGAGGACACATAGAGCTTTCTTTTGGTGGCATTTAATAATTACTGGGGGTTTTACGTTTTACTATACAACAAAAAAACTACGGTTTTTCCTGCGTTATGTTATGAAACATTTATTATTACCCTACTTTTTTGGAAAAATCTAAAAGACGTGGTCAAGTTAGGGATATAGACACCAAACATGGCAGGCCTTAAAATTGCACGCCCGCGAAATCGCAAAATGCTACCACACCCAAAATTGGCCATAGGCGACACTTAAAAAGTTTTTACCACTCTTCAGTTTAGTGTTAACAAAGATTGATGGCCCTAGAATTATTGCTCACGCTCCGACGTTCGTGGTGATATGTAACATGTGCGGCGCAATCATAATTTTCGCACGTAAGCACACCCAACGCATGTTTGCAAACAGTTAACTTTATTGCTATCTATAGGGGCTAACAAGCCCTCTATGTAATAGATAATTTACATGGGCAGGTCCTCTTTATGGAGATATCAGGGGTTTCTACCACCCCTAATGTCACTTGGGGACCCACAAAAAAGCTGATGAAGCAGTGATCTGCTTCGCCAGCTTCTCCCTGGCTTCCCATGCCAGGACTCTCGAGGACCACTCCACGGCCCACCGCCCAGGCACCACACAGGCCGCGCCGTCATCGTTGAGAGTCGCCCTCCACTATCCCCACGGTGAGTTACAGAAGCTCACCCCTTTTCACCCACCATTGCATACCTCACCCCCTCGTGTTTGTATCCCCATTTGCCTACTGAGTCGAAACACCACGCCACCCTGAAAAAGAGGGACTACTACCACCTCCACCCCATCCGCTTGACCACCACCGGACGATTACAAGCGAATACTCACCCAGCCTCAGGTGAGTACAACTCTTACGCCTACACCCCACTCTACCACATTTATTGCGCTAGGTAGTGGCGCTTCCGTCTCCAGTTTTTGTTTCCTAGAACCACTCAGCCCCTCTGGCAGAGAAACCTGGGTGACTATTTTGCGAAATTACACAGTGGCATTGCCATGGGCTACCACAATATATATATACATATATATATATACATATATATATATATACACACACACATACACATACATACATACATACATACACACAGAATATATTTAATACATAAATATAACCTAATTAAATATTGGTTTAATTATCAGAATGTTTTGCTTACCTGTTTGTACGCTCTTTTTTTGTAAATTAGATGTACTTGCTTTAGAAGGGATGTTGGTACTAAGTTGTTTAAACACGGTATATTATCTCAGCTTCTAACCTTACAGTATGTTCTAATGTTAGTTCAATGTCTGGTAATCCTGGCAAGTTTATGGAATGTGCAGATATTAAGTCATAAATGCTTCCTTTGATGCTCAGAAGTCTAACCTACCTTTAGCACCATTACATATTTTCTTTAGATGAGATAAGAAAAGGAATTCAGTGTGGTGTTATAATTTCCTGTACCTTAGATGGAATGTGAAATACTGTTGACTTGTTCTCCAGTCCCCAGAGAAGTTCTGCAGGGAAGTCAATCACACAGCAGGTGGAGTAAGAATAAAGATACTTCTTGAGGAACAGATGCATCCCTGCATAGCGTACTGTAATCCCGTTACCAAAAACAGATGTGTACAATGTGTCACCAGCAGACACTTTCCCATCATTTGCCTCTGAAAAACCTGCAAAAACAATTTCCTTATTTTGTAATTATATATAGTACAAATGCAGAGAGAGCACAATCAAATTGTCAGATAGTCATTTAAGAAGCCATTAGAAGTTCAGTAATTTCATGTTTCTTTGCCATCACATAGCCATCACCAATGTGTACTGTCATGTCCACAGTCCATTATCTCCATATGTCTGTCTTGTGAGCACATGATTCATTATTTATAAAGTTTTGGTTAAAGATGTTGAGGAGCTCAGAAAAGAAAGGAAAACATATTTTAAAGATAACTAAACTTTTTATAGCATAAGTGATACTTGGTTCCAATACTTCAAACCGCTAGCATATTATATGTATCATCCCAGATGCAAAACTATGGTGTACATCAGCATGGTGCAATAGAGGGATGAGCACAAAGCATGAATGATTAGTAGGTGTAAAACTCTATATAAGTGCTATATTAATTATTTCAACAGCTTCTAAATTTAGAGCATTATACGAATGCTTAATAAGAGGGGGGTCTATTTAAGTTTGTTTCATGCTTTAAGCCATTCTTGCAATCAGGTCAATACTGCTTGTGTGATTGGCTCAATGCTTTTCCCAGACGTCTCCGCACAGTTTGATGAAAGATTTTCAGGCATTTATACAGTATATGTATAATAGAGGACGCTCCTACATAGCAGTCAGCATCAGAAAAGGGAAAATTAAAAATCTGCAATAAAGTGTGCTAAAATCTTTGCATTGTATATAGTTCAGCTGGAGAGTGGTTGGGGTGTTGTTTGTTACCTTGTCAAAGTTGGAGTTTCAACTTATTTTTTTGTCTACCAGATCCAAAAACCCAAGAATGTTTGTCGGCAAAGAAAAGGAACACAGAGCAGTTCTTAGCAGACTATCCATGGTTATGCATTGGCATGGACTATCGGCAGTTAAGAATAGCCATTCATAAATGAGAGTTTACGTTTTATTTTAGCTTAGATGAGTCCAGCTGAAAGGCTGTCTGTTTTTTTCACAAATGCAAGTAACCCACTCCAAAAAGAAAAGAGGACTTTTGGGTGAATGCAATTTTTGCATGACAGGTCTTTAGCTTTTCCCCCACCTACCTATTGGGTTACCATAGAAGGAAAGGCTAAACAATGAATGTAATTCAACATCTTGCCTACCAATTGTCCTGCATACATTTTAGTATCAATTGCAATGTAAATACATTACTCTGAATTTTTCTATGCAATCACATGAAGAGCAACATTTTAATGTAGGTTTATTGTTGACTTAGAACCAAGACTGATTAAGGCTACTATTACAGCAGCTGGATCCCATCAGCAAAGATTTTGGGGTTCTATAAAGGTCATGTGATGCTTGACATTCACAAGATCTTCCTCTCTTTGGAATGGGTTATTTGCATTTATTTACCGGGTAGCATTGCCTGATATCTTACCCGTACTCCAGTGAAGTCACTCACCATGCAAAAACATAAGCACCAAAAAACACTAAGGGGTCTATTCACTATGCTGCCGAGGGCAGCCGAGTGAATGACCGATCAGAAGTGAAGTGAGCCGAACACTGTTCGGCTATTCACTTCAGGCTGGTACGGCTGATTTCAGCCGTACATCGGCTGAAATCCGCCGTACATCGGCCTGCTTCGTGTGGCTTCGGGTCGGCCGAATATGCTCAGCGTGTTCGGCCGACCCGAAGTGCAGCAGGAGTTCGACTCACTGCTGTTCCGGCTATTCCTAAAGATGCCGAACAGCAGTGAGTGAATAGCCGAATGCCGCTGAGCGGCATTTGGCTCGGCTGTTCTGCTCGGTCCCTCAGAGGGACCGAGCAGAACAGAAAAAGAGTTAAAAAAGGTAAAAAAGTCAATAGAAAACGATTGTGCAGAGCTAGCAGTGACAGCTAGCTCCGCCCAATAGTTTCCTATTGTCCGGCGGCTCTGCTGCTGTAAAAAAAAAAAAGTAAAAAAAAAAGAAGAAAATCTCCCGGGGGCTCTGGGAGCCTTCCGCTCCCGGCTGCCAAGGAGAGAAACAATGCTGTGTCTTTTTTTTCTTTATTCTGACACGAGCGATGTCAGAATAGAAAAAATTTTTTATCCCATTAAAAAGCATTGAGACATTACTATTGGCTATTTCAATTTGCAATAGCCAATAGTAATGTCCCAATGCTTTTTAATGGGAGAATTTTTTTTTCTATTCTGACATCGCTCGTGTCAGAATAAAGAAAAAAAAGACACAGCATTGTTTCTCTCCTTGGTGGCCAGGAGCAGGAGGCTCCCGGGGGCCAGGGAGGGTTAGCTGTTTAGAGATCAGTGTCCCTGGTTAGCAACCAGGGACGCTGATCTCTCTGAAAGTGGCTGGAGCCAGCCGTAAGATCACGGCTGGCTCCGCCCAGCTGTCAGAAGCAGGCTGTCGGCTGCTCGGCCATGATCGGGAGCTGTACGGGCTATTGTGAATAGCCCGTACAGCACCCCCTCGGTTCTACTGAACCAAAGGGGTCCTGGGGCCGAAGCTAGCCGAAGGATCGGCCGAAGCTACGGCTAGATCCCTCGGCAGCTTCGTGAATAGACCCCTAAGTTGCTTTTTATGCATTATTCTTCTAATGTACATCTTTAAAGGTGAATAGATGGCATCCTACATCTTACTGTTTTCGTTTGATTATACTGCCACCAGAGCAGTGATAAAAAGAAAAAAGAAACAATTTACCTGTCAGGGTGAGAATGTTCTTCAGCCTCATTAGGTGATTCTGATAGCGGATGATATGAACCCAAGACAGCTCCCCTATAGGAAGCTTTTCTGTTGCATGATATCCAGCAATTTCTTCCTCTTTTTCAGTGCAATTTTGAGAACCTATGAATTGGCAACATGTTATTTGCTACAATAAAAATATTAAAGAAGCCAATAAAAGTATGCATCAAATTATAAACAAATGCAGGACGGGGAATATAGAGTGATTCATCCGGAGATTCATCAGGGCTGAGGATGCCTTCCCTGCTCTATGTGACAGTACTGGTCCAAGCAGCAGCACTGTCATACGAGGTAAATGGAAATAAGTCATATGTTCCTCCATGCCTAGACGTACTGAGTATTTATTGTGGAGCTGGCATCTGATCAGTGGAGTGGAGGACTGAATGAAAGGGCAGAAGTGTATGAAAGCGAACCCGTTGCTTTGCCCTACATGAGCAAAGCAGATTTTGCTGTAATGTGAATTTGTGAGGACAAAAATTTCAGGGCAGGTTCCCTTTTAAAGGTGAAGGCTCTGGGGTTGTCATTCTGATCTTGGCCTCATTATTTATGTATTCTTGGTATTTTATATAGCACCAGTCCCTGCCCTCAAGGAGGTTACAATCTAAGGTCCCTATCTCACATGTATACATACGAGGGCCAATTTAGACAGCAGCAAGTCAACCTACCAACCAGCATGTCTTTAGAGTGTGGGAGGAAACCAGAGCACCCAGAAGAAACCTATGCAAGCACAAGGAGAAAATGCAAACTCCTTGCAGATAGTGACCTGGCTGAGATTTGAACTAGGGGCCCCCAGTGCTGCAAGGCAGAAGCGCTAACCACTATGCCACTGTAGCAAGTCAGTCTAAACTGTCCCTCATGCCTAATTCAGGTCAGCAACTCACTTTGTAGTAAAGCAAGGATAAGGTGGATAGCCAGCATCTTAATAGCTGAGCTCTGAACAGACAGCTACATACACATAGGAAATGTATGTATAAGAGCTGTTTTACTTGCCAAAGGATTGTCCATCCAATTCTAAGAGCTACATAACTCTGCTGTACAGCCCTGTCTGGCACAATAAGGGACCAGATTTGTCTCTGCTGCAGTTAAATACCAATTACAGGTCAACCCCCCTCAGCCTCTGACTGGTCAATGTATAGAGAAACAGCAAACTAATCAGCTCATCTCTGTCACTCTGCTCTACCCTCATATCCGCATAGTCCTTGATAACAAATGAGCACTGCAGCACAGCTGATTGCCCGTCTGAACTCTGTTGTACAGTGGATTGCAAGATGCTGATACCAAGTCAAAATTAGGTAGTTACATTTAAATATACACATTTAAGGAAGTCATCGTGACTACAGAGCTATGGTAATTCGCGTCTTTTACATCTGCCTGAGGTTCAGCTTTAAATACAGCACCAGCAGCTCCAATATTTCTGTTATTGCAGGTTTCCTGTAATCATTTCTTTTATGGTATTTATAGGACACTGTAAATTAATCTTAACAATGTTTATTTATTGTACAGAACCGAAAAGAAAATATCTTTTCACATCTGGCAACAGCGGGAAGAGAAATACAGCAGGGTGAGTGTGGCTCTTGGTCTGTAAAATGGCCATTTTTTTTATAGTAAAACCAATAACAACATGAGGGGTTATTTATGAAACTCCCACAGTGCAACTGGCATTTCAGGCTAAGTGCACATGAGAGGCTTTTCAGCTGTATGTTACGTACCTGTGTTTTTCTTGTTAAATGAAAGAACGATGATGATAAACATGTGCCAAGAATAGGCTCTGATTTGTTCTGTTCACTGTTTTCAGGTGTGTTTTAAAGGGGCTCATTTGGACAATGATTGTGGCTTTCATTCCTTCCTTCAGCCACTATAACATTAATAACATTTTTCCATCATTCAGCAAGCAATCAGTGTGGCACTGAAAGTGATGTGTGGATGGAACTTTAATGCATCTTGTACACGCAATAATAGATTTAAATTATACCTTTTATTGGGTGAGTATATCACAATTGCAAAGTTTTTCAGACAGCTCATGGTTCTTCTTACAACACCCTTCGACAATAGTATATTGGAATTTAAAGAAGCATTTGCTTTCCAGCAAGTACATTTTTGGATCCTGCCGCCAATACAATAGGTGTGTGCACTCAAGAATATTTATATATTTAATATATTTTTTATCAGCTTTTTATATTTTTTAAAGCACAAACAAGCCTATGCTGCCAAGCCTGAAGCTGGGACATACTAAGAAAGGCAGAGTAGTTGTAAGAAGCTTAAAATATATACCTGGAGGATGTTGGGATAGATCCCATATTGTAAAGAAGGAAATCTTGCAGGATCACCAAATGTTCATTTTATTGAACAAATCGTCAAAAGTGACCATATTGTTCAGCATTTAGTAGGTGGCCTTCTATTAAATTCATGAGGAGTTTATCTTAATGGAATATGTTGGACCCCAGCCATTTTGAGAGTGAGATGTGAGCCATATGCCTCTTTGTATATTTATTTATTTTTTACAGGTATTTATATAGTGCCAACAATTTATGTAGCACTTTGCATACTGTACATTCACACAAGTCCCTCTTTACCCCTTTGGCACTTTTAAATGTGGTATATGTGCTTATTGTAAATTCATTAAAATAGATAGAAATGCTATTTTGTAAAGGTTGAGAACCGAGAAAAGTTGTCAAACCCCCAGGGTGATATACTTAAAAAATAATCCACCTGATTATTAAATTAAAAAATCAGGCAGACCCCAGGGGTCTAGAGTAAGTTTCCAGCTGAAGCTAAACAACTTTGTGCTACTCCATTATTATTAGTGTTGTCAACTCTTCCTGATACTCTCCTTCAGGACTACAGAACAGCTCTTCCTTTCCTTATGCTATATAAGGGGAAGGTGTTCTTTAGTCCAGCAGGAGAGAACACAGGCAGGGCTGCTAATACCCCCAGGGATCAGGGATGATAGTCCGGTTCACCATTACCAAGGGCTCGAGGCAAATCTTGCAAATTTGAGAATCTCAGTGAATTTATGTGTAGATTCACCCAGGAAATTAAAAAGAAAACAAAAAAAAGACATAATGCACTGCATAGCCTTTGAACTATGGCAAGCAGGTTTATTAGAGTCATACAGGGGCTTTTGGTTAAGCAAGACCCCTCAATATTAAAAGGGGAGCACAGAGCAGCCATTGTCAATAAATTGGTAGTTATTGTAGGGAACACTCACTAAGTGCACAGGGGAAGTTTGAGGCGAGTTAGGAAACTGTACTTCAATTCTGATTGCTAGCTTTCTGGACAATTAACTTCTTTGTTTCCTTTTTATTATTATGGGGGTTGTCTTTCATTTTATTGTGTAATTGATTTGAGGGGATAGGTCACTTTTAGCTGATGTCCCATTCTTAGCATACCTTTTTTTTCTGCAAGTTGTCTTTTGTTTAAGGGTGGTATTTCCAATTGTCACTCCCTTTGTGGGTTTTTCTATTTTATTTTGAATGAACTTTGTGCAACTAAACCACCTATTATCCTTGATTAAAATTATGTTGTTGTTGGACAATTTTACACTGCTGTAGCCTCTGAAGTATCTTCATTCTTGTAGTAAAAAATCAGCCTGTGCTCTTTGTATCATACGTGGTCATCCGCGGTCTCTTAATTCTTCTGCCTGTGTTCTCTTTCTCTAGTACATTTTGGTCAATTTTCCATCATTAAAATGGCCCGCTGCTGGCCATTTTTTAACTGCTGTATCATCATTATTATTATTACACAGGATTTTTTATAGCGCCAACAGTTTGCGCAGCGCCTTAGAATATAAGGAAGACATTACAATTGCAGTAAAATTCAAGATATGATGGTAAGGAGGGCCCTGCCCATGAGGGCTTACAATCTAAAAGGGAGGGGCAAGTGATACATGAGGATGTAGCTGTGTGGGGACGAATTGTTTGAGAATGTGATGATTCAGTGGTTAGTTACAGGTGGGATAGGTATCATCTGCAGACTCTTATGTCTTAATAAAAGCTTGATGGAAATTGGCCAGCGGAAGAACAGTCTTGCATAAGTTAGAATAGGGACAGCCACAGCGAGCAACTGGCCAATATTTGCCAGTCAATATTTGCAGGTCTGATACTGATTGCTGAAAAAGCTAAAGTTGATAAAGCAAAAAGCTTTTTTTCTACAAACAATAACCTATCAGATTTGGGTGCTTCTGCATTAGGTAAGCCAAGCTAGTGGTAAAATAAATAAATAAATTCCACAGCCAAATATGCGCTGCCGGTGTACACTCTCTCTGAGACTGTCTGTGAAAATCCCACTGTTTTACATGTACAGCGTTAAGACACCCCAAGCCTGTTATTTAAAAGGATTTCTGTATGTTAAATGTTGCCCTTAAAGGGGTTCTAAACCCTCTGTTTTTTTGCCTATATCTACTGCTATTAAGCAGTAGATATAGGCAAAATGTTTTTAAAAAAAACCCCTTTTAGCGGTTTAAACTTACCTCGTTATCGCTGCACGCTCCCGCGCCGAGAATCTGAAACTGCTCGTGCGGCCGCAAAGCATCTTGGGGCGGGCGCAATGCGCAGTTCGTATTCTCGGCCGGGAGAGGAGAGAGACACAAGTTAAGTCTATGGACGCGTGCACCTGCATGCAGACTGCAAGCAGAGAGGAGCCAGCGCTGGAATGGAGAGCCGCCGCACCGCTGGGGGGACAGATGAAAGCATCAGGAAAGAAGAAGATCGGATTAAGAGACATAATTTAAGGTAAGTGCTAACATTAACATGGGGTGAGGGGAAAAAATTGACTTTAATGTCACTTTAAACCAGCACGAAAAGACCCTATCCATGTTGTATGGTATTTTTTCTTGCAATCGTATATGGCAGTGCTTAGTTTCCCATTTTGTTTTATAGTAGTTGCCCATTAGCCCTAAAAATGTCCGTAATTTAAACAGATGCCACATGGACTTTCTGCTCCTAGACCGATCCCTTCAGGCTCAAACCTCCTTTGCTCTGGTGGTCTAAGGTCCCGTGGGTCATCCCATCCTATACAGTGGTTAGGATGTGAGAATGCTGAGGGACATACCATCGCTGGAGCAGAGCAGGAGAGAGGCTGAAGGGACTTAGTCTAGGAGCCAGCCAGGATCTTGGTCCACGAGAGTATATCTCTGTTATTTTAAGTCCCTAGGCAAAATGAGCACCTAGCCCTTGCAGTGGGGCTATCCCCATACTGCAAGAGTTAAGATTTTATTTGCCCGGAGTACTTTAAGTTCAGGTCCACAGAATATTAAACAAAATTAGCCGAGCCCTTGGCAAACCAAACTTGGAGGAGATTTGCTCATCCCTGCCAGCAAATTTAGTGCAGCAGAGGGACTGTTGTCAGCTTAAAAAAAGAATTTAGGTGCTCACTGGATTTTTGGCAGATTTAACAGGTATTTTGTGTACTTGCAGCATTTTAATAAAACAAAAACAATGGCAGCTATTACAGAGATGTACTGCATATTTTATTTCCTTTTTTACCCAGAAATTGACAGAAATGTTTTTTTTTGACCTTGCAATCAACTGATTATTGACAGTCTAAGCAGAGCACTCATCACTGGCCATCATCAGCCGGAAATTTGTAAGACTTTTCAATTTATAGCTTATTTTATGGTGATATTATTATACTGTATATTTTCATAGAAGTAAATTGGAAAAATTCCACATATATGCTCTTTTTTTTTTTACAAAGGCACATTGTGTAAAATGCAGTGACTCAAAGTAGCCAATTAGAATTCTGAAGTGATTTCTGTTATCTGAAAACGGACTGGTTGCTAACTTTCTTAATGCATAATGTCAATAAACATTTGCCAGTATCTATACATACCTTGTAAGTATTCCTTGTAATTTGCTAGAAGATCTATACAAGCAAATGATGGTATGTTCTGATGCAAACTGGGATCAATAGTCTGCACAGCAACATTGCTTTCTCCAATCAGCTGTTTATATGCCAGCATGGCTTCACCCACCTTTGAAAAGATTCAAGACATTGTTTCAAAGTAAAAGCACCATTGTTGCTAAAACTAAACTAAGTTCACTATAAAAATTTAAAGAAGCAATGACTTTAAAGAGGAGATTCTCGGCAAGACATTCCGATAGACAGGTAATTTTCTGTTTGTTAATGTTCTTTCTGGGGAGGCAAAGATTTCCCAATGCTTCTGAAGTTTCCTGCCTAGAGCAATTTGCTAGCAGTGTATAAGAAAGGTAATATCTTTTTCATGACAGGGAGTGTAACTCCTGTCTCTGGTTAGCAATAGTTTTTTATCATTTGGCCTTATTCTTCATCAAAGTCATTTTAAGTGAAGACACCTCCGCTGTTTTTTTTTATAGAACACATGCTGGGTACAATCTCATCATATTTCCTTTGCTTAATTGCCATGTAACCATAACATTTGCAGATACTTTCATTAGACAAAGATATGTGAAGTTAAAGTGACTCTAAACTCATGAGTTAAATCTTAAAAATACATCCAAGTACCTTAACTTATAACAAAAATGTACCTCATTTGTGTATCAGTCGGCTGTAGATCCTCAAATCATCTCTGAAGTCATGCTAACACTGTCCTTCCCTTCTGGGGGGATGACTACATTTGTTCCCCATGGTCCCTGTGTGTGTTGTAAAGCAGCCACGGCTCCAAGCTCACTCTAGTGATGGACTACAATCTCATGTTTATTTTACTCATTTATATTGAGATTGTAGTCCATCACAGGAGTGAGCTTGGAGCGGTGGCTACTTTACAACACACACAGGGACCATCGGGAAGAAAAGTAGCCACCCTCCAGAAGGAAGGACAGTGTCAACACGAATTCAGAGATGATTTGAGGATCGACAGCTGAGTGATACAAATGAGCTACATTTATGGCAACAGTTAACCCCTTCATGACTGAGGCCCTTTTTTCATTTTTTGCACCCATGTTATATTCCACATTTTAGTCCTGAAAATGACTTAAAACCCCCCAACATTATATATTTTCTGAGAAATAGATAATCCGCGCTTCTGGAAAGGAGACTAAAGTGGAAATGTATAATAAATTAAGACCTAAAGTAGCTCTAAAAAGAGGATAGAAGAATCCTATCAACAGTCGAGAAAAATATATATCAAAGCGCTAAAGGTGTACCTAATATGAAACTTAGTATAACCAAGTGAAATAGTGAAATTTTAGGTTTAGGCGGTCTAGCCCTAAAACAAGTGATATGTCTTACATAGAATCATAAAAGAAATATATATAAAATAAAAATAAAATTAATAGTACAATAGTGCTGTGGAAAAACAGAAAATGATTGGGACAATACAAAATTTCAACCACTGTGTAACGACCTCGAATAGGTCACAATATGTAAACGATCCGTGCAAAAAATATATATTAAAAAAATATAACATGGGTGCAAAAATTGAAAAAAGGGTCTCAGTCATGAAGGGGTTAAATACAGTAGTATATTCCTTGTGACAACAAGATTGGATTTCCCTGTCTTTCTTATGACTGCCAGTGGCTTTGTACTAAAAACTGAAGGTAGGTTATGCTAGAGGTTGCTGTCATGATGCTCATCCTTTCTCTATCTGTGTTTTTGCAGTGGTGAGACCTTAGCTAACAAGGGGAGGCAGACCAAAGAATTTTAGCAAGTCCTTCAAGAATATGTTTGTTTTTTTTCTAAACTTGATTGTGCAAAAAAAAGGTCGGTTTAAATAAGCTCTACGTTTAATAAGCCTTCTTATTAGGCATTTTTTTATTTTTTTATTATTCTATTCTAAACCGAAGGTGAGGCAAGGACAGCATTAGAGTCCATGCAATGCTGCAGAAGAAAAGAAATGGCTATTTTCTTCTGCAATCTATCAGGTTGGACAGAATACATTGCAGAAGAAAATCTTTCTGGTGACAAATGCTCCCTTTCCTAGCATACTACAGCACTAAATAACTTCTAGACACAGTGAAAAGCAAAACAGATTTCACCCTGTAATGTTCACAAATCTGATTATAGGATATTATGCCAGCCCATAAAATCTGTTCTGATCATAAAATTTCCAAGAGACCCTGCACAGAAACAGATGCTACTTATACAGCCAGAAGAGTAATACCTCAAAGATGTGTCTCTAATAAAAAATAAATAAAAAGCAGCAAAAATCATTTACAAGCTGCATATCACCACTAAAATGGTTTCAAGGATTTGAGGAATTAAAACATGTATTACACTGAATATAAGCATGATAACAGAACCTGTATTACAACTTACAGGAGTATTTTAACAACATAAAGGGATATAAAAATAGTATGGAGCCATGGCTAAAAACAGAGCAGATGTCTTCATATCAGACTGTCTTTCTTGCCAGCTCCCAGGAGAATGTCCTGTCTAGCTCTGCTCTGCTGTTTTTTGAAACCTGACTGTCTTTCATGTGTATTTATGTGACCATTTATATAATGAACATTTTACTGAGAAAGTATGGACAACCAAGCGAATTTTCCTTACTTGATATACATATCGAGAAGGGTTTAGTACTCTTAGTGAATATAATAAACCTTTGTAGAATCATGAATCAGTTTGGGTATTCATTTGCAGGGCCCCACATGTGTTCTGTATATGAGAGCATTTCTTTTGGCAAGTATTTGATTTAAAATACAACTGAGTCCTTGGTATATTAGGTTTTTTTTGTTGTAATCTCAGTTTAGGGGTCCATGTTTGTTTCTACATTATCCCTTTTACTGTCACACTAATATTAATGTTGAGAATTCAAAAACTGGAAATTGTAAACTAGGTTAAAATACAGCATGCCAAAAACATATGTGCTAGCAAAATGGTGCCAAAAAATGCATGCTGATTGCTGAATATAAGTGCCCATTAAATCATCTATAAAGTAAAAATACCCATATATGCTAAGATCAGGACCAGAACTGCTATAATAAAGGAAAAGCCATTTGCCCTATGTCCAACAGTATATGGGGTTCACCATGAAACCTGCATGCAATGTAGATTGAATTGTGAGGTTGTAAAGAGAGTTATCTTGATCCTCTTAATATCCTCCTGATATTAAATATCCAAAATTAGAATTCCAAGATGCTTACAACATGATGTCTATTCACTCTAGTTTATCAACGTAAATCAGAGATATTTTCAAAAAATTTAAGTCTAAAAGAGCTATGATACCTCTAATAAATAACTATATAACTTAACATGGTAAATACTTTTCAAGGTGCCACTTTGAAAAATAAACATAAAATCTTCTTTTAACCCCTCCATGACTGAGCTTTTTTTTCAGTTTCTATTCGTTAAGGACTGACGGACTTTAAAATTTTTTGCTGTGTGATTCCTCCACAGCAGTAATATACTTTCTTACTAAGTGCACCTACACATATTATATATTATTTTTTAGAGGACAGATAGGGCTATATATTTATATCACATATGGTGCCTAACACCTAGTACAAATAAAATCTAAACACAATAGGGAAAAACTTAAGGAAAACACTTTTTCCCCCACTTTTGATTAATATTATACGGTATCCTTCGGTAAATCAGCCTCTTTGTATGACTTAATTTTCTACCCTGACTCGCTAATATTTAGCCAGATGCTGATCTGGTAAATAAGGTGGCATCACACCCTTCATGTCCTAAATTACAGCACTGTAGCACAATTTCAGATGTTATCTAGGGATGAATAACCATGTCTCACAAAATCTTGGTTTTACGTAGCTTACACAACATGAACGGGTTCAATGCACTTTGATATACTAGCACTCATATGACCAGCTTCATAACATAAAACATGAACTGTAATACAAGTTTTCAATTTTCAGAGCAGTAGTCAATAGGCACCAATAAGGGCAGATTTCCACACAGTACAGTGGCATCACAAGGGGGGTGTGACCCGCAATGGGTGACACCATCAGATGGGTTGACACCAAAATGACTGTCAGTCATATTGGTGTCACCCCGTCTGAAAAGGAGGGCACTCAGTCATAGACCAAGAGCCCAACAGCTGCACGAGAGAGGGAGAGGAAGGTATACTTTATCCCGCCGGATGAACGTCCCCTCCTCTCTTTGTTGGTGTCCATCACCAAGATGGCCGCTGGCAGTTAAGTTTGCCTGATGTCAATATGCGTGTGCGTGATGACTTCACGCATGTGCGTGATGATGTCACAACGTGCTTCCACATGCTACTACACAGGGAGATCTCAATCAAGAGCCTATTTTTCACTTACAGTGAAAAACACTTGTTTTTAATACATATATATATATTCAATGTGTAAAACAGAATCGGGCCATTTCCATCAGTTTATCACCAATAAAAAGAAACAAACAGTGCTACTAAATAGAATATGCAGTAAACATATAACAGGTAATGGGTATAATACATATATTAAATGGTTAGTGAGCAAAAATGCACTCATTCATTGACTAGCAAATATTTTGATTGAGTGGTAGATGCTTGCAAAACAAAAAATATGACATTATGTGCATTACTGAAAAAGCTTTGACTCGCAAATAACAGCTGTGCATGTAAAGATTTCCATAGCTGTAAGGACAATGAGATACAGGACATGCATGTAAGTTTGCTCTGCAGCCTACTGTTTTATGATGGCAGTGTTGACTTATAAAATTACTGGACAGGACATCACTTGTGTGCTGTAAAATAGCACCACCATTTAAAACATGTCCTATTTAGATAACTACTTGAAACATACATATTTATTCATGTATTGTTCAGACCATATTATTTAAACAGTAATGATTTATCTTCTTTATATTATCATTTGAACAAACGTAGATAAAAGCATTTATAGTAAAAATAAAAAGGACCTGAGTAGCAGTTCTTATTGCAATCCATGCCAGCAGTCTGTAGAACTCCATTTGGCTCAATGCTCTCTCCCCACCTTCCTTTGCCAGCACTTCAGCTGCCTAAAAGGTTCAGATTAAGATTAATAAATGGTATCCCAAGAAAAAAAAAAAGATAAATGCCTGCTCATTTTTGAAGAATTTCTTACAGTTTTAGATTATATCCAGCACTGGATTTACAGTACTAGTGTTATAGCATTTAAAGCCTCTGACTACACAAAAGCCACCACCTGTAATGACTGCTATCTTTTAAATCCCATAAATCTTCTTGTTTATATGTGGGTGGAAGTAGAGCTCCTGCTGTACTTCTGTACATACTTGGATTTAAATGCTGCAGGTCTTATAGATCTCAGCACTAAAGTCCTATAAGCACCACACTCTCCTCCTGGCCATTCTCAAAATACACCACGCAGGCTCTGACTTGTGACTAGCCAGGAGGAGAGGGGAGGCAGAGATGTAACCAAAGCGCTGGCGTCTATTGAGACCTGCAGTGTTTACATCTGAGCCAGGGGCACAGACATACAGCGGGAGCTGTACTTCCACCCGCATGTAAACAAGATTTGTGGGATTTAAAAGACAACAGTCATCACAGAACGTGGCTTTTGAATATTCAGTGGCTTCAACTGCTATGACACAAGTGCTTGCATTGTGTCCAGAGTTCAGCTTTAACCACCACAATCTAAGCTTTACCTCCAACTACCAACACAATCAAGGAGGGAACTACTAAAACATACCCAGACTTTTTCAATCAAGCCGTGTACAAAAAGGAATAATGACACACATATTGCAGCAATTCATAGAAACCAATCAAATGTTTTCTTCTGTACAGGTTAGAAATTAGACAATAACATCTGGCTAATGTTAGCAATACATTCCTCTTTCCCTTCTTTCAGTTTTTATAATGTAGCTGTTGCTGGGAAACAACTTAAAGTGTATCCATAGCCATAATTTTTTGGTTTAATTGTGGATAGAGTAGGGAAGGATAGAAACCCTATCAAGTTTTATTGCTGTCTGTGTCCCTGCTAGTTAGGATGACCATGTCCATTTGTCCTAGGGAGAAAAAGGTGATGGAAAACCCCTTAATTTTACAGTTGCCACTAGAGTTAAGGGCAAATATTCCAAAGGGAACATAACTGTCTAAAGGTGTATTCCCCTCACTTTGTAGAGACTTCCTCTTACTTCATGTTGTGTCTCTGGACAGGAAGTGATAAAAAGTCTCCCCAATAGGACACAGACATCAAAAATTAAACTGACAGGGGTTATTACCCTTTACTATTTTAAACCCTCTACTATACAAATCTTAGAAAAACAAACATTGGGCTTTACATACTTACTGGGCAGTGCTTAGGTCAAATCAGGGGTGCTGCATTCAAAAGTACTGACAAGGAACATGATAAAGAAGAGGGGAGTGGAGAGAGGAACTCATCAGTTTGTTGCTTCTCTTTCGCTGTATAGTCACATGCTGGGGGAGGGAGGTGACCTAGCTGTGTTGCATAACTTTACCAGAGAAAAGTCAGGTCACCAGCCTTGTTGAGCTGCTAGTAGGACTGTCTAAATCTCTGCACTGGATGGACAGAAATACATATCCTTTGGCTGTTGAAAAAGCTTCAACTGTGTATTAAGCTGTTTGAGTGGAGTTCAGCTTAAAGGTTTTCGGTAAACAATTTTGCTAGCTAGTAGAATCGATCATACAGAAACCATATTTCAGCTAACTGCAGTCAGAATAGTGAAGGATGAATTCTGATCATGGCTGGTCATGGGATAGTGCACTTTGCTATATGTTTAAGGCCTGGTTCACATCTGACCGTTTTGTAGCGTGTTCAACGCTCGACGAACGCTCTACAAAACACTCAAACATCTAAATCCCATTGTATTCAATGGGTCTGGTTCACACCTTGCCGTATTTCCGCCCGTCCGAACGCGATACAAAACGGACTACGCCCAAAGAAGTACATGTACTTCTTTGGGGCGTTTTGGTCTCGCGTTTCCATTGGGATACAGCCAAGTAGCCCTCGGAAACTGGCGTTTGTCGCGCGTTTTTTTTTACCGCGAATCGCGGTGAAAACGCGCGATTCGAAACGTGCGACAAACGCGCATATTCAATACGCCTAGGTGTGAACCCAGCCTTACTGAACAAACCCAAAACAGAGTATTATTTTATCTCACTATATCAGTAGTATATCCGGTCATTAAAGAATATCCTTCCCATTTCTAATTCCAAGCTTACTTTAGTCTAATAATTCACAGTAGAGACGTTAAAAAAATACTATCACAGCAACTAATAATACTGATCTAATATATAGAAGAATTACCTTTCCTTTTGATGTTGGCGCATCTGGTGTTTTCGTGGTTCGAAGGGTTATAGTATGTTTGTTTGTTTCCAGATTGGACATGTAAATATATATTAGAGCTATTTCCAGGTAAGCTTTTCTTATTAAACTATGAGGGGTGGAAGAAAAAACAGGCTTTAAAGACTGTATACAAACCTGTAACTAAAAATGACTAGAAAATCGGTTATTCTATTAATATTGTTATAGATAGTTGTAATTACTGCAATGCAGAATTGCAAGCAGCTACAGTTAACAATTTATTGAAGATGAACACTTCTTATTAGTTTAACAGTGTCTATTCATTTCATATGATTTAGTGAAAACGGTTATCAAAAATAATTTCCCAATCTCAGACCTGATAATTCTGATAATTCTCATAAAATGATTTTGTGTGTAGACAACAAAAGCATATACTTATCAGCATATCCCATAACTTGTCATCCAACCTAACAAACAAAACCCTGTATTTTTCTTACCTTAAGTTATGATCATAATTGCTGCTCACATTTATAGCCTCAGAAAAGGATTGGATGGCTCTAGATTTTTCATGGTCTCCAAGGAGAAACATTAGATGCTCTGTCTTACCTAAAATGAAGTTAAAGTCAAAGAGACTGTATTTCAACAACATCAAAAGCGATAAAAACATACTGAATGAAAAAAGGAAGTAATACATTTTTTAAATATACATTTGATTAAAGAAGTTTCAGTTATATTTAGTTTTAGGACAACCACATATTACTATACTATCAAACCCATAATTGGTGCCATCTTGGAGGAATTCAGGCAGATTGTAACTGACATTTCTTTTATATGGGTTCAAATATAGACACTAGCATCTTAATGATGTTGGGAACACCTTCATCTTTCTTTTCTTCCAGTTTTTATAAAGCAGGTCTTGCACTTGCATCTAACTATTGCTAGGAAATAGCTGAAAGCATTGCTTAAGCCAGTTTGATATCAGATATGATCTGGAATCACAAAGAAATAATGCAATATAGATGGAACGCATAGAGGGGAATTTATCAAAACTGGAACAGACAAAATCTGGAGTAGTTGCCCATAGTTACCAATCAGCTCCTCTCTTCAATTTGTTCTATTAAGCTTTACAAATATAAGATAGAAGCTGATTGGTTACTGTATGTATCGGCTCCAGATTTTGTGCAGTTTTGATAAATTCCCCCCATATTTTTATAGCACAAACAGGTATAGTGCTTTCTAAAATTATAATATGGTCCAATGAGTTTTAGGCCTCATTCACATGAGAAACTGCCGGCACGTACAGCTCTGTGCTGCATGCACAGCCGTATCGGGCAGCTCCTGGGAAGGACAGGTGCTGTGTGTGATTAGTACGTAGCCCCTGTCTTTCTCTATGGGACTACATGGTCGTACGTCTTCCTACACTCACCCGCCCTGCACGTCCGTGCGGGTGTCCCTACTCGTACGCTGACAGAATGGATCCTGTCTGCGTCCGAGCCGGGACACCCGCACCCGTACGGACTTGAACTTGGGGTGAGGGTAGGGCGGCGTACGGCCACGTAGTCCCATAGAGAAGGACAGGGGTTGCGTACTAATCACACGCAGAACCTGTCCTTCCTGGGAGCTGCCCAATACGGCCATGCACGCAGCACGGATCTGTACATGCTGGCCGTTTCTCATGTGAATGAGGCCTTATGGCTCATGTACATATTTGACAAACTCAGAAGTGAGTAAAATGTCTTTTTAGGTGCCAGTGACTGCCAGTTGCGTCTGAGTTCCACTGAGCTGCTTCTACATATTATTTAAACTCACATTGATGAATTGCATGCAAAACGCATATAAAATTAGCCCTTACTCATTCCTAACACTGCAATTTAATGATAACCTTAGCTATGCAACAATATTTATATTGTTCATTAAGCTAGTTATAATTTGATAGACATATACAAGTTAAGTGTTGTAGTATTTGGTTTGTAGCCAGATTAAAAATCCTAAAATTGATACCTTTTAGGAAAAGTAACTCTGCTTCCAAGTCATATTCTCTAAATGAGGCACCTCTACACATCTCTAATGCTGTTTTGTATAGATTCAAACTTGGTGAGAACTCCGATAAGTTAATAGATGTTTCTGGCGTAGAACAGGCTTGGAGAGTCAGCACTCGTCCTGTAGAAAAACAAGAAACAGTGCTGTTAAAAGACAGCTTTAAGATATCATACAACAAAACATATGCCAGTTGAAAGTGTGAACTTTGCTTCATAGAGGGTTGCATGTTGTTGCACATCCTTCATGCTCATGTCAGACAGCAGCCTAAAAATGCTGTTGGGGAACTCTGCTCCAGTATAGCAACAAGGAGCTAGCACTTTTATTTTACCTAGCACTAGGAATATGTTAATGCTTCTGCAAGCAGGGAGAAAACCCAGAACATAGTTCAACTGGATTGAGGCAGGGAATTTTAACTGTATGTATTGCACACACTTTCATTTACCTAGACAGAAGGTAATGAAAAATATAACATTTTATAATGGTCGCCAGAACAAGAGGTCATACATCCCAATTTTGTGAGGCAAGAAAGAGAGACACCTAATAGTACAAAGTATAAAAGTTAACGCCACACCCCCTCTGCCACGGCTCCAGTGATGCGGATCACAAATAATTAATACTAGGGATGTACTGATACAGGTTTTTCAGTATTGAGCAGGAGTACTGATACTGGTACTTCCGCTAGCATGGTGCCGGCTTCCTCGGCAATCAGGAACCTGGGCACCATGTAATTAGCCGCCAGCCGGCTTCTTCATTGCCTGAGATGCCGACTCCATGCTGTTTGGCTGGCTCCATGCTGATTGGCTGGGAAGCTGGCCTCCCAGCCAATCAGCATGGAGCCGGTTTCCCAGCCTATCAGGAAACCAGGCAGCTCCATGTTCCCGCGCGGTACTGCTGGTCAGAGGACGTTCCGGCATTATCAGAGCGGATCATTTCGGAGCATTTGGAGTCATTTTGGAGCAGTATCGGAGCATGTGGGCAAAGTACGAGTACTCGTCCCAAGACTCGGTATCGGCACCGACACTGATATTAGTATTGGTAACGGTGCATCCCTAGAAACAAGCAAAAAAAAAAACAAACAATAAAAACTTAAAGAACAACCCATTTCATGACTCATTTGCAGCACACAAGTCACACTATGAAAATCTAGTCACACAATTTTTTTGCTTCATGACATAGACTCTTTAGGATCACAGAGATTTAGCAGGAGGTGTGCTTTCTGTGCTCCATACCACCACCCCCCGCCCCACCATTGATGTGCTGAGAAGGAATTACTCTTCTTAACGTGCATGACTGTTAGATGCATGAGAATATCATAAACGAAAGGTGGCTTTTTTTCATGGAAAAGGTAGTTTATCTGAAATTGCACATTACACGGTCTGTTTAGATGCTTAGTGGTCTTCTTTAAATGTAAGAATTGAAAGAAAACGAATTAAACAAGCAGCCATAAACAGTATTTATAGTCCTAGCCCAGTCTGGACTCCTTTGCAATAAACTTAACTGAAAAGAAGCTCATAAGACATTGACAAAGGAAAACTCAAAGCAGTGAATAGCACACGGCTGTCTAGCATAAAACAAAAGCTGGCACTGGATGTCTGCCCGGATGACATACATTTTATATTACTGATGTAAAAACAAACCACTGGCAATTAAATAGCAACCATTTTCAATTACTGCTGCTGGGTAATCCTTTTGTCCAGACTAAAGGTTGTAAATTATGTTGATAACTACTGTAAGCTTGTGCAATATCAGTGAAGAAAGAAATATTCTTAAGTCTAACCTTCCCTACACATCAGAAAATGAAAATCCAATGATTGCTCTGAAACTGAGAAAATACTAGGTCATAATGTTCAAGCTATATTAATATTTTCCATTGTACTTTTATAGTGTTGGCATGTCATCTCTGAAGGGTAAGCAAATCTGACAAAGATCACCATATTTTAGATTTGTTGAAACTAGCCTGAAGTTCACTATTTATCATCTATGTCATAAATCATGATATGTGAGGAGAGAGTACTGGCTGTTGGGTATACACTGAAGAGTATGGCAGAGGCCCTGGGCAAGACAGGTAGTGCGTTTTATCTTACATACATTTTATGACTAGCTATGATGAGGAGGACATGGAGAGTAGGGAGGTTTTGGAAGTTTTCAATACTACATTAACATATATATACTGCCCAAGTTTAAGTATTCACATTCAGGTAAACTTGTTCTGTAATTTGAAGATAGTTTGCCACTCATCCAAGTAGCTTCCTCGGTTCTGAGGAACCAAGGGAGAAAGAACTAAGGAATCTACTTGGTAAATAAAGAAACATCTTAAACATTCCAGAATAAGTCCAGTTGAACTGCACTAACTGCTGCTAGCTATGGTTAAAGAGATTGCTCTTTAATAACCAGGTATGAATAGGGCACAAAATCAACATAACAATTCACTATGTAATGACTTTCTTTTCTTTAACAAATAAACAGTATTTTTTATGTTTTTATTCTGGATAGATTGATAAGGGGTTAGAACATATGTCATGTTTTATTGCAGACCGTGTCCCCATTAAGGAGATCCACCCTCTCTATTTGTCCCGGTGACCATTGTCACTGTGAGAAAAAGATTAAAATTTTGATTTGCCACCAAAACAGCAATAGATGAGTTTCAGTGCCAAATGCCTAAGAAGACATTTAAGTCACAATTTGGAGAGATTTCCTCCTACTTCCTGTTGTGTCTACAGGGCAGAACGTTAATGGAAATCTCCCCAATGGGACACATATAGCAAAAAAAAAACAACAACTCCATAAAAAAAAGTGGGTTGGTTTTTAGAAATACTTTGAATATAACTGGGATTAATAAAAGGCTGCAGATTTTATTTAAACGAAAACTATTAATATCTCCTGCTGCAATTCTACATGCTCAGACTTACGTGTGTTATTTAAAATAATTGACATGTATTCCCACATCCTAGGGGTAAGGAAAAACACATAAAGAGGAAAATTTGAAAGTTGTAGAAAGGAATCATGCCCGATTAAGATTAAAGGAGAATGAATGACAGCAAACCTTCAGCCCACAATACTTTTCACAAATGCAATAAAAGAGAGAAATAGCAAGAAAATGGACGTGTTAGATAGATAATTAGATATGCGTGTGTTTCTTTCTCTGCTCTTTCTACTGCCCTACACATTTACCATTCATGTCCTAGTAACACTGTTCGAATAAAATCAGCACATTGATCTACAAAAGTACAGAGAAGCCCATTTCGTAATCAATATGATGCCAAGGCAATTATATCTATTTTTATATGAAGTCAACAATGTGCTTTGTAAATGATATAAAAACACATAATAGAAGAACGATGAGAGGAAAGCACAGATACAGAGAATGCATGCAAGCTGTTTTGTTTATACTTACCAATCCTCATTCTTATTTTAGCCAGAAGAGAAATGTGTGGCAAGTAGATATTCTTGAAATGTGGCAGCGATGGATTTGTTATATCAAGCTCTGCGGTTTCTCCAAGACAAGCAAGCTGCACATATAATATAACATTTAAAAGTTAAACAATATATTTAATGTAAGAAACTTCCACTGATACTGATCATGTGTCTCATTCATTTCCATACCCCCAGCACGTTCTTATATCACTTACATCAGTTACAGGAGTCATATCTCACTCACCTATCAGCAATGCAACATAACTCTTTAGAAAAAAAACACCCATTTAAACTTGAACTCCAGGCATATTGAAAAGATAGAAACGCATTAATGCATATATGTATTATAAAATCATAAAACGCATTTTAAATGCAACTATCCCAGATTCTGACTTGTCATCAGACTCTTGCACTTACCTATATAGCAGCACAAGACTGAGAAAAGGAGGGGCAGGACTGGCAGTCAATCAGATGTGCTGCATGCAAGTGTTTTGAGGAGGAACCTGCTGATAGAAGGAGACAGCAGAATGACCAGAGGATGACCTCATCATTCTGCTTCTGCTCTTTGACAGCCAGGTAAAAAAGCTGCAGATGAAGAGAAGACACCACTGTATCCGTTAACTGTAAGTGATGTCATCCACTTGGCTGTGCTGTTTGGCAAGGCTGTATAAATCTCAGGCCTGAATGGACTGCGAAACAAATCCTTTGGCAGGTAAAACAGCTACCCTGCATGTATATCATCTGTGTATTTAGATTTTTGCCTGGAGTTCAGCTTTAACAACTATTCAAAACACAAATCCACATTTCTAGTGATAATGACACAACCAGCATGATCACTATATTACAAATACCATCTTTACTGTATACAATCTGAAAAGTATACTCTAAAATAAAATTCACTGGGTTGAGGTATGGTGCCCTGCAGGAGCCTATGTGACATCCGACCTAGGGTCAAGTACTGCCAGGTGCTGGTAGTGCATTGGGATGATTGAGTTCTGTCTCCTGCATAATTCTTCCCCTCACCTTTATGATGGCTGAGTGTTGGCCTACCCTCAGACCAGTTTTTGTTTAAACTCTCTCCAGGTATGTTGCCAACTGTTCCTGACTACTATTGTGGGGTTGAACTGATACGGGCATTGAGGGTGGACAGTTTAAATACTTATGTTACCTATACAACTTTGTTTGGGTAAACTAACATGCTGCTACAATATTGTGTATTGTAATATTGTAAAGTAAATGTATGGGTGTTTAAAACGATCTGAGTCACAGTATATATTCAGTATTATATTATTATTATTATTATTATTATTTGTATTGATTGTACCATGTGTAATATTATTGGTTGAAGGTATGTTGACTTCCACTAATATACATAATTTTACACATTTTGTATGATTTATTACAGATAAATGTTTATACATAGCAACAAGTATTGGAGAGTGCCAATGCAGACCCAGTGAAACATGTCACATTTCAGACATTCTTTGCTCCTCAGGTGGACATACTCCAAGCAGTTGTATCACGGCCTTGGACCTGTGAAGAGCTCTACAGTTAACACATTACACTTGAAGTCTGGAGAGCACAACAAACAGAGCCCATTGCCCTGGGTCTTCATGGTGGCAGGCTCTGGGTACAGCCTTCAAGGCTTCGCTGAGAATCAGCCAATGCAGAAAACTGCAATAAGGGCCCCTTTAGCTCTGCAGTTAATTAAGAATCTTGACTGCATAAAAAATATATAGGTAAAAATGAAAAAAGTCAAGTGAAGTGGGTTTGCTTTCCACTAAGGAGAAAATACATAATTTTTCCTAGAACAGTAGCAAAAAAACTAAAAGTTAGCAAATGAACACTGATTGGTTAGCGCACTCCCAGGAGGGGTGTGGTGTGTTGTGGTGGGCGTGCGGCTCCTTATATTGTTAAACCGAGGTGTCTAACTGTATACTTCTGAATAGAAAAGGAAAAAGGAAGGAGCGCAGCTAACTGGCGCAGACTGTGTGGATGGAAAATAAACAGGGAATAACCCATTCATTCATTTTCTGGACACTTGCCCTGGACTATATCCACAAAACAAGCCTACAGCTTCCTTCTCATCACCTGGCCCCACGTCAACATCCAAGACTCTCCACCACAACACCCAAAGAGCACCTGTCCTAAATCAACCAGGAACGAAAAAGACCGTCAACCACAATCAAGATTGAAACCATCCGAACAAAACACCTTCGATTCGCCACGTTTTTCGTCGTTGATATCGCCACACACCAAACCTAATGTTGAGTGAAGAATGCACTTCCTTGTCATACATTTGCACAGATTCTGACCACCTTGTTTTTTTCTTTTCTCCACGCCAATTCTGATGCATCATTAACCCCCCCCCCCAAGAATCCACATCTGCCCACTGAACACCCAACTGTCACCACCATGACCAGACCTCACAACAACATCACCAGATCACCACCATTGTGCCCATTCATTCCATCACACGTGAGTGCCAAACACCGCTTTATCATTCACCTCGATTCATTGCTATTCCCTGGTTATTTTCCATCCACACAGTCTGCGCCAGTTAGTTGCCCTCCTTCCTTTTTCCTTTTCTGTTCAGCAAAAAACTGAAGCATTATGGGTGTGGGAGGGGTTATAACCTGCCAACAGCTTTTTGTTTGCCTGAGTACAACTCTGTAGGCAGCAGCATAACCCAGTTATTAATATACAGGATTTATATAGCGCCAACAGTTTGCGCAGCGCTTTACAATATAAGGAAGACATTACAGTTACAATACAATTCAAGACAACTTGGTTAGGAGGGCCCTGCAGATGAGACCTTACATACAAAAGATGGTAGCTGTGTGGTAATACAGTAAATTGTCTCCAAATTCCTTCTGAGCCTGTGTCCCCTTATGAATGATTTTTTTAAAAAGCACTTTTATAACTTTTATAATACATTCTATGTGTTATCAGCACAGAATACATGCTAGAGGGACACAGTATGTTTGCCAAGCTACAACCAAAGGCTTATGAGAAATAACAATGAGTTGCTATGGCAAAAAAATTACTTACTGGTCATTTCCCATTAACAACTTTGACCAAAAAGTGTTGGCCGAGATCCCCACAAGGTGGTACATATATGAAACTAGCATATTTCTGTTTATTAAGCAGGGAACAATAGACCTGCCAGGAGATATTCCAAACCATTGGACTGATGCCTTAGCACTGAAGCTCTTCTGTTGTAATCGTATTCTTTCCATACATGGCCAGACTGCACAACAGTGTCAGAGTCATTTGCATCATGTTGTATACAACCATGTACATCTTTCAATGTAAGTCTTTGTGGCAATGTACAAAGACACTTTAATTAGACAAATCAATGCACACCACAGCACGTTTATTGACAAACTAAAGGTTACAGAGGCATGTTTACATTGTATTTTTGTTGGTAGAGAGTAAACTGGGGATTTAGCCTATTATAGACATGCAGTCTTATAAAAGTATGAAAAGAAAATGTTCTTTCTTGATTTTATATTTTAACTAAACACACGTTTGCAAGCCTTGTGGAAACATCCCAACCTTTGTTAGTTGTTTGTTCAAATAGCAAAAAATGGATGGTTGTTGCATTATTTTTTAATATAGAGTCATGTAATAAACAAGTTAATGTCTTCCTTCTGTAATCTTGTTTCAATTCCTTGAATTCCACATATATTTTCTAATACTAACTGCCACTTCAGTGATTCTGTTTTAGATCATTATCTGCAATTTCTACTTTTTATATTTACTGTACTTACTTACTATACTTACCGTAATAAAGCACATTCAGTAAAAAGAAAAAAACTATTGAGAGAGCCTGTTGGACATTTATAATACAAGGAGCATCACACTAATACACTTACTTGTTTGTTGATAAGTTTGTGGACTGAAGTGAAAATGTTTAGCTGCTTTGACCAAACCAATTGCTGGTCCTCATTATTTTCCATTAAGTCAGCTGAAAGAATCAAGCTCTGAGCAAGGGTTAGACGTGCCATGGGAGAAATGAACCGCTTTCCTTGCAGCAAGTGGATTATACTCTGTTTAAATAGATAAAACGGGTTTTATATTTCAGACATAAGTATAATGAACCTGTGGTACTTATGGTGTACATGATGATGGACATATGAATATCCGTACACAAAATAGTGATAAGCAGCCTTCCTTTTATTTTTTCCCATATAGCTATATTTCTTATAGCTATTATCCTACAGGCATATGATCTGTGCTGGTGGTGCAGACACATTTGTCCAAACCAAAAATGAAGAGAACTTAGTGATATTGTTTTTATTAAAAATATTTACATATTTTGGTAAACTCATATTTTAAGTGCAATAGCCATCGCTCCACACTGTCCCTCATTTGGAGGGACTGCCCTTCTTTTGCAACCAAATCCTTCTGTCCCTCTTTCCTCTTCAGGGCTAGTTCACACCAGAACTGCGTGCATCTGCGCTGTTGCAATGCGTTTTGCCATGATTTTACCGCATTTGTACAGCGATTTTACCGGTTTTATGTGTTTTTTTGGCTTAAAATGGGATTTCAGGTGTGTTCCAGTGCGTTTGCATGTGTTCCGTTACGATGCGTTACGATCTGATGCAGCTAAAATAGAGCAAAAAGTATTTTTTCTGACTGCATCGGAATGGATGGACATACTGCAGTGGTATGAACAGAGCACCAGAAACCCCATAAGAAAGCATTGTGATGCATTTTGGATGCAGCTGCCAAACTGAACGGACTGCATCACAACTGCATCTGGTGTGAAGTAGCCGTCAGTTGTCCCTCTTTGTGCTCTAATATATATATATATATACATTAATTAGTGAAAATGAACGCTTTACTTACCAAAGATTGAACACAAAAGATAATCAGCACACAAGGAGTGGGATGAATCCAAGTGTTCTTTTATTCAAAGAAGCATGTCACAAGTGTTAAGGAGACAACGTTTCGGAACCACGCAGGGTCCCTTCATCAGGGCTGACATAGTGAATGAAGGGAGCCTGCGTGGTTCCGAAATGTTGGCTTCTTAACACTTGTGACATGCTTCTTTGAATAAAAGAGCACTTGGATTTATCCCACTTCTTGTGTGCTGGTGATCTTCATTGTTCAATCCTTGGATTTGCACGGCGCCATCCGTGGACATCACTACGAGCACCATCACTATCAACGGTCTCCATTGCTGTATGGTGTGCAGAGGATACCTCGCTTTACTCTTTACTTACAAAACATGCTATACTACACTAAACCTTTTAACCAGTCTCTGAATGCAGGAAACAAAGTGGAATAAAAAAAGAATTTGTGGGTTTAACTAATATTTGTTGTTATGTTAAGTCCTCATGGTCTGAACATACAGTTTGTGCTAAAAGGTGTCCCTCATTCTAAGCCAGAAAGTTGGGCAGTAAGGCAAAATCAATAACCGGAATACTGTTAATTTACCACACAAAAATTAAAGTTCAAGGCACATAGGTGAGAAAACAGAAGCCAACTCTACGTCAATTGATTAGAATAGTTATTAATGCAATTTATGATTTAACTAGGCAGACAGTGACTGCTCAAGTCTATTGTGATCAGGTTAAAGTTTGGATTTGCAAAAAATAGTTATTAAACATCTACCTAGCATTAGCAAGAGGACACGATCATCTATCAGTCATAATATATATTATTCAGCAATAACAAAGGCTACACAGTTCTCTGTTCTTTAGTGTGAAGACATGAGACACTTATATCAAAGTCAATGCTAATATAGTTCGCTGTGTATAAAACTTTTCCAAGGGTTACTGTGTCTACCTCTTGGGATGTGTGTTTTGGTGTCTAATTATTTTAGAAAACTGGGACACTATGGGGTTGATTTACTAACCTCACAAACACGCCACAAACACGCCATGCATAAACACGCCGATTGCGCGCGCGCGTGCGCGTATACGCTTGGCGCGGAAACGTATGCAGGTTATACAGATGCTTGATAAATACTAGCAGCAATTGGCCTGGAATGCAATGTTCCAATTAGAACAGAAATGCTTGTATTTGCAGGAGTGCATGTTGCAATGTGGCCAGGAGCACTGCAAGTGAGGGGTGCTTTTGGTTGGACCTGCGTGTGTTCACATACACCCCAGCATTATACTGGAGTGTGCTTATGCTAGCAAGCACTAAATCAGCCAGGGGGTGAGGACACTACAGAGGTGACACCCAGCAGGTGTGTTGTGCGAAGCCCTGCATCAATTGTATGCTGATGTTGTGTGAATTAGCTGCATGTTGTGTTGCTTGTGTTGATGAATGCAGGAATGTGAATGCATGAGCTAACCTTTTTTTGATCAACTGTGATGCACTCATGTTTTTGGGGTATTAATTAATTAGTGTAAAAATGAATAGTGTCTCTCCATAAGTTGAATGAGGAACACATGAAAACGGGCAGGTGAAAATAAGTTGCCAAAAACAAACACCTCTGGACAGGACAGAATGGATGAAAAACGCGCCGCTCAAATTTATCCGCCATGTGCGCGTGTTTGCTAGAATTACGAAGAAATCGTGCAGGATTGGCGTGGTCGTGTTTCTAGGATCAAAAAACGTGTGAACTTGCTCATGCACATGCACATTTGCCTGGAGCACAGCCGAACACGGCACTGGTGTGTAAGTACCTTATTTTGGAATACTGTCTTTTACCAGTTTGTAAGTGTTATGTAGAATGTTTGTATGCACAGAAGCATAGCAATAACATATGTATCATATGTATGATTTGCACATGTATGGCAGTAGTAGAAATATGATTCTAGCACTTGCAATTTTTTATTATAGTGGCGTGCAGCCGATGGCGCATATTACACGACACGCGCGCAAGTAAATACATAAAAACGCGCCATGCCTGCGTGAAACCGCGCCATGATGTGCGTGTTCGCTTGGTAAATTTATTTTTGCGGGTTAAAACGCGCACGCAGCCTGCGCGTGTGCGTGTTGGGCTTCGTAAATCAGCCCCTATGTTTCTTTCTTTAACTTAGCATCTCTGTAGTGAGGCCTGCAACAGCATAATATTACAGGTATTTCAATGTTTCTGCATTGCAATTAGAATGACAATATATGCTGACACAATGCAGGCAAAGATTAAAGCTTAGACTGTTTTCTTTGTCCATTTGCCCAACTTCTGTTAACACAATTGTATAAAAAATGGAGAAACAGCAGGCTGATCCACTTGTTGAAATGTTGATTCATCCAACATACTGTCAGTGATAAAAATGCTGCAGGTGCAGTGTAGTGTGTCTGCTCATACAGTATAAGGGAAGTGTCTGGGCTCTTTCCTGTTTCCATTTATAACCCACCATGAAAAATGTTAGGTTGTGATGGCAGGGCATGGTGAATTCACTTGTATATGGACCAGGCCCATATACACATTAGGCCTGGTCCACTACTGGCTGCTGTCATCTTGCCACATGACAAGACTTTTATTAAAATAATTTGCCAGCAACAGAATTAACCTGAGTTATCAATATTTGGACTACATTACTCAGGAAATCATGTCTTACTGCAAACTTATTTCTGCAGAACAGCTACAATGAGAATCCTTCCTAAGAAAGCCATAAGACAAAACTAAACCCAAGTTGGGAACATTGCGGTGATATGCCTCTTTATCATACAGCTCTTGTAAGTATAATGGAGGGAATGTATCAAAACTGGAGCAGACATAATAGGGACAAATTACCCATAGAAACTACTAAAGTTGATTTGTTGCCATAGACAACTGCTCTAGAACCTGTCTGCTCCAGTTTTGTTACATTTCCCCTCAATGTATCTTAAAAAGTGGTGGTGTTGCAATTCTTGCCCTGCTGTATTTTCTATGCTGTCTCCAATAGTCCTTTGCTGCCCAGATTATTTTTCACAAGGGACACAGAACCATGATGAATATGTTGGAAGCCAATATTGGTAGTTAGTGTTTTGGATGGTAAAGGGCAATGTGCAGCTTACCCTGTGTCTGAAAAAAAAATTCTAATCACTTTCCAAACTTACAAAGCAAGTCTCTATCCCTGCAGAGGGAGGACTGTTATGTGACATTAGAGGTTAGTAAAAGCAGAGGTAACTTTATAAACTTTTTTTCCACAGCCATTAGGTTGTATATATGAGCCATTTGGTCACATATGGCACCTAACATATATTTCTACCACTATTCTATTACTACCATTGTTTCTTTATTTTTAGTATTTTCTCCCCATCCGTGGTGTTTTACACACTATATATATATATATACAGCTTAAACTAAAGATTTATGACAGAGCTGAAAACGTTAGTTATAATAGGAAATATCACTTTAAGAAACTACATTGTAATGTGCACAAAATATCAGGAGAAAAGCAAAATTTTGTGTTTTTGGACCACTAATACATATTTCCAGGTGTCGTAGACCCAATAAATAAGTATTACATAAACAGCACTTAAAACCAGTTATGGATAGTTAAGGCCTGAGCATTTTGTATCGCTTTTTCTGCCCTAAAAAACGCTCAGA